CTCTCTTTATATTGTTGAATGCGCTAGTCAGGTGGTAGAACAACTCTTAGGTAGAAGCATCCTGCCGAGGAGGTGGGTGAGTGGAGTACCCACTAACTCATCAACTGCTGAGGGGTAAGAACCAGGAGACCAGCACCCGTTCAACCACCTTGTACGTGCACACACACACACACACACACACACACACTGAGTGACATGACAAAGTTGAACACAAAGCAAACAAACAAAAAATTACATGTACACAAATATTTAAATTTATTCATAAACGAGCAGGTGTACAGGCGGATGTTACATATAAATTGTTATTGTGTGAATGTTTTGTGGGAAATTACCCTAAAATATAATATCCTGAGTTCTTCAATGTACTATGTACAAAGAGCATGACTTTCATGTTCAAGCCCTTACAAGTATGTGCGTATGTGAGTCTGTGTGTGTGTGTATCAACAGCCTGTGTCACTCCGCTTTTGGATTTTCACAAGTCATCTACCTTAAGAACCCTCGAGTGCATTCATTCTTACTCTGTTGATTTTTATCGTCTTTCGTTTTTGTAATATCTTGTGCGAACTGGCCAAGCGTTCTCTTAGTTCACTTTTCATGTTTTTTCTTACAACATGGCTACTTACTTCTACTTCCGTTCATTATCTCATGCATAATGTATGTAGCTTTAATTCAGTTTGATATTTAACCGAAGTGCTTCTCTCCTTGTAATCAGACGATTTTCAAATGCTATATTATGTCAGGCATTAAGTGATTTAGGCTTCAGAATTTTAGAATCGTTATTAATTAAACACCTGAAACTAGACTTAAACAATAAATTATATTTCCTTATACACGATTAAATACGAATGTTTTTTTCAGGAAGATTTAATTCTGTCTCGAGTTTCATTAACCGCGTTTGTTTGTTTTGGTCTGATGAGGCTCTCTGGCGTTTCTTGAAGCAAGAACCATCACGCCAGGAGGTGAGAGAGTGACAACTTTCCAAACGTAAACTCAGCGTCGTCTCCTCATTATTTAGTGTTAGTGACAAGAATTTTTTTGTGTTAAACGTTAATTAATGATGTTAAAAGTCATCATTGCTTGAACAAAATAACTGTTTACTAGACTGGGGATATCTCAGCTGACTATTGTATTAATACCGAGATATCTCGTGACTTGTCCTTCCAGCATAACTATACGTGGTTAGGTCTGACCATCCCCACCACAAGCCCCTCAATAACTACATACCCTGTACACTTGAGAACATTGTAAAAAGTATAATGAAAACCTTATTGACGTAGCTAACAAGAATAAAAAAGCTGTATATTCTACACAATAAATATCGTGAGGAAGAACTTGCGTAAGGTAAATACGACACTTACTGACTTACAGTGTGATGTCAAAGCCCGGATGCGACAGGAGGACAGACGTGCTCGGCAGCTGTCACGGGACCCGGATATAAAGTACGAGAGATGGAACATGCGTACACTGAAACATTACAGTGTGGAGTATTCTGCACTACTTTATTCAATTCGTCCTAGACTGAGATAGAACTAACTCTATTATCATCAACAAACTACAAAGACACTGTAAGGTTTCCGTCAATTGTATCTAGAGTTCAGTACGTAATTAAAATACAATGATAACAGATGATGACACCTCTGTCTACTGAGGACAGATGAAATATATCTACTGAACAACAATAGTAACTAAAGGGCCACATTGTGATAAAATTAATCTAAATTAACTTATTAGTGTCCATACAACCCACACCTGAAGACAAAGGGACAGCTTAAGAAAGATGAGCTATTTCCATTCCCTGTCGTGGTATATTTGGGTTTAACAGCTGACGAGTGATGAGTCTAAAGGCCAGATTAAGTGAGGGTGTTTGTACCTGTACCTCATAGCTTTGCCGGGCTTCAGCAGTCTGTAAGTACAAATATTCGCGATGGCACAAATAATGTTGCCTTCTGCCACTGCACAGATGAAACTGATAGAGGTATAAAAAAATAAATAAGGCATCTTTCAGACAATTTAATGCTACGTCTAAACAAAACCACTCACTAGTTGGTGTTTCTTCCTTGTAATTGGCTGACTGCTACTCGTCGACAAGGGTAGGAGGTGAGGAGAGACTTTAAGATGGTCGGTGTTGTATTCGAGATTTTGTAGGATTGTTTCGATGTGTTGCTCCTTGGGCCAACGGCAGAATCGCGTGGCTGAGGGTTCAACATCAGGGTTTCCACCGGATCCTTCAGGATGGTTCCCACACGTTTACACACGTTCAAGTCTGGTGAATTACTCTGTTGAATTACCCTGTTGTCGCGTAACAGCTACAATATTAGAAGAGTCTTCATGCAGGGGGCTTTGTAGTGCAGGAATCTTCGATGTCTAGAAAATTCGCAGGGTCCTTCAAGAACGGAATGATGCATTGGGCGAGGATCTCTTGGCTGAAATACGTTCCGTCCCAGCCCTGGCCGCGGTGCTTCATAACCCACATCTTGTGGAGGCCGGTGAAAAGGACAGACACGCCCACGCAGTCAGGAGTTTTGAGTAACTCCCAGTAGTGCCCTTAGTCAGGGATGTCATCGGTAGTCTTTGACCATATTCTGTTATTTTGAGAATTTGGTTTCTTGGTCACGTGAGAGAAAACTTGTCGCTGACATAGCGGAAATTGCACCTGTCCTATTCACTGAAATAATCCGCGAACCACAGCCTGTCGTCAATGATCATTACGGTTTTCCGAGGCTTCGCCAGCTCATGCTAGGCCTTTAGACCCTGCTGGGTGCGAAAATGTCGATTCGTCTCACGGCGTACTGTCATCCGGCGTCAGAGATGAATCTCCTTGGCCAAAGCCCCGCAGCTCTTCTTTTAGCTGCGTGACCCATCCAGGATGATGTTCTTCGATTCCTGAGAGTGAGCCTCGGGACTGCAGCCGCGGAACTCGGTCTCACACTTTTCATTTGGCTTTCGTCAATTTCTTTTCACAAAGTCCTCCGACCTTCCAAGGCGCACAACAACCTAAGTACGTGAAACAAACGCAACACCAACGTCACGAACTTCTCGAAAAGTCACTGCTCGAATGCGATCTACAAATCATATCTTCTGAGAATCGTTCAACAAGTTAGAGGCCATTATCATACCTGAAAAGATAAGGGCATAGATGTACAGTACAGTCGCTACAAAAAGCATCTGCAATTTTTTTTACTAGACAATATGACACAGCGGAGGAAGGATTTGACAATCCTATCGAGACAACAGGAGTCTCAGTGCTTATTTTGACATCCATCGGACCCCACCTTGCGAGCTTGTGAGTGCACTTTCAAGTGGAATAGCCTCAGTTATTCTATTATTGCTATTATTGAAGGTTTAGACTAAACAGGTAGGGATCATTGTTTGGGGCGGCTTAATATATCTTGTTTTATCACTTACTAAAACGTAAGGTTCTGGATTTTAGAATCAACATAATACGTCTTTGTTAATATGAAGACACCAAACCTTAGTCCAACAGAATATGTTTGGAGTATTTAGAGGAGTGGCAGCGAAGCCACGCCCACCACACATCATGGCGTGTTAGGCATCATCAGGACTTTGCCTCGTCGTTGTCAGGAGTTTGTCCGGGATCAAAGGAGGTCACACTTCCCTGCTCCATTGGTGGTAGTGTGGCCAAATGTGTCAATTCACTACTCATACATCGCTCTTAACTTCACAGTAAAGTGTCCAACTGGTGTGTTACTCTCATCGTGTATATTCCAGGTTAATAGCAACACCTCAAGGGTAAATAGCTTTCTTTTCCAGCGTCTCAGTCCTGTGATCCATTCTGGAATGAGTACAATGACATTGTAATTAAAGGTTTGAAGTCTTTATATTCAAGGGATTAAGTTATTGTACTCAAGGGTGAGAGTAATCATACTCAAGGATTAAGTCGTCATACTCAGGAGATTAAGTCATCGTATTTAAGAGCTAAGTCATCTTTAGGACAGGGAAATACTTTCACTTCAAATCAAGTGTTTCAAATGCCCAGTTACATTAAAATTGGCTCAGTCCTTGGGGCAGTGAGGTGTTTTGTATATCTCAAGGGTTCACTATTCTGTTATGGAGATTTACAATTTTTTCATTTGTACAATTTGCTGTATTGTTTTGACGTTTGCTTGAAATATTTCTGCTTCCTATCTACTATGCATTTAGAGCACTGGCCTGCTGCTACCTCCGAGATACCTAACTTCCTTAATGTTATGGCTGGGGATTTTTCGTACCATTTGTTCATATGGACACCTTGGCCACTGTCTTGGCCAAGGGCGCCATAACCTCCCAGCAATGGTGGTCATGTTGTTCTTTGTGTGGTAGTAAGAGTGAGGGAAGTTGTTGTTATTGTTTGTATGGTAGTAAGAGTGAGGGAAGGAAGTGAGTCGGGCCAAAGAAGAAAGGGTAACATCAGGTAATACGCTTCTTTACATGAAAACATTTAAAAAAATGACAGATGAAGCCCAGTATTTCTTTGTTAGATATTTTGGTCCATCTTCACTCTAGGAATACTATATCAAATGCATTGCTAGGTAATCGAAGACTTCATCTCTTGGTTGCCAGTCAGTATCATAACCCGTGTACCCACGTGCTACTGTGTATATAACATCCGGCTCGAGGTGGTGGCTAGAGCAGGAGGACCACTGAGTGAACAAGTCAGGATATAACAGAAATAACACCTGACTCCACCTCCATTATGGCCTCACAGTCTTGGTCTGGCTGAGACATCTCTACGTTACACCTTCTGTTTGAAAGATGAGGTGTTGTTTGACAGGAAGAGAGTAAGTCAACCGTAATATTGGATGTCATAAGGAAACGTTAAATGACCTTTAAGGAACTCGTTACAATCTGATAAGACATAATGAAAGGACAACACAAACCTGTCACCACGTTGTGTAATGCATCAGAAATAATAACAGGAAGGTATTGTCATAGAGGGCAGCAGGTAATGTAAGGAGAAGCATCTATTTCATCACAATATTTCGTTGTGGAGAGGAGCCCGCATGTGCTTCTTACCAGCAACAGCACCAGAATCAACTGCATCAGAAGGAGTAGGGGGAGTGGCTGAGTGCGAGGCAGAGTGGGTATTACAAGGAAGCCGGAAGACCCAGGTGGTGAGGATAAGGACAGCTGGGAGCCGCGGGTGACGGAAGCGAAGCTAAGAGGCGGCGCCCTGCACTCTCAGCGCCAGTCACCACCACGCCTCCCTCGCCGCTCCCCACCGTAAGGTACCGTACTACCCCTGTCATCATCTTCACACTGCCCGTATCTCTTGTGTCCCTCCTCTGCTCCAACCACAGCAACCGTCTCGCTCTTATCCTATCCCGCCTCTTTCAATACTCTCTCACTACCTCAATCCTTCTGCTAAAGGTGTAACAGATCCAGTGCAACAGATCACTGTGGTAGTGTAACAGATCACTGTGGTAGTGTAACAGATCACTGTGGTAGTGTAACAGATCACTGTGGTAGTGTAACAGATCACTGTGGTAGTGTAACAGATCATTGTGGTAGTGTAACAGATCACTGTGGTAGTGTAACAGATCACTGTGGTAGTGTAACAGATCACTGTGGTAGTGTAACAGATCACTGTGGTAGTGTAACTGATCACTGTGGCAGTGTAACAGATCACTGTGGTAGTGTAACAGATCACTGTGGTAGTGTAACAGATCACTGTGGTAGTGTAACAGATCACTGTGGTAGTGTAACAGATCACTGTGGTAGTGCAACAGATCACTGTGGTAGTGTAACAGATCACTGTGGTAGTGTAACAGATCACTGTGGTAGTGTAACAGATCACTGTGGTAGTGGGTAGTGTAACAGATCACTGTGGTAGTGTAACAGATCACTGTGGTAGTGTAACAGATCACTGTGGTAGTGTAACAGATCACTGTGGTAGTGTAACAGATCACTGTGGTAGTGTAACAGATCACTGTGGTAGTGTAACAGATCACTGTGGTAGTGTAACAGATCACTGTGGTAGTGTAACAGATCACTGTGGTAGTGTAACAGATCACTGTGGTTGTGTAACAGATCACTGTGGTAGTGTAACAGATCACTGTGGTTGTGTAACAGATCACTGTGGTAGTGTAACAGATCACTGTGGTTGTGTAACAAACGACAGAGTAACATGACTACGGTGCCCCATGTCAGTGACCGCACTTTCACCTTCAAGATTCGCGGTGCAGCTCCAGACACTGAACTTAAGAGTCGAGTATTTACCACTGAACCAGATAAACAGTTCTCAAGACTTCATGGTGAGCAACATACATTACAGTATATAAATAGTAGACACCGCCAGCGTTTTCTTTAAGACAAGTTTACCACACTTGGGGGTCTTAGCACACGTAAGATGGAGCTACAGTGACGCAAGAGCCTGACTTTCCAGTTACTGCCAAGTCGAGTGTGTCTGTGAGTGTTGTTCTCCGCTCCATCACTGGCCCCCCTGGTCTCAGCGCCTTAGGTACGTTTTCACCTCACCCTGCTACTCTACTGGTAGTCTATGAATCGTGATGGTCGTCCTGGAGTCGTAATAATAGAGTGCCTCACTTTATTACCTGTCCCACTTACTACTTTCGATGCCGGTGAGAAACCTGGCCATTGCAGACTGTGGTGATGCTCGCCTCACCTCACCTTCGATACTGATCCAAACTGTTTATTAACATTATCAACTGCTGTGTTGTTTTGCCACATCCAACGCCCCTCGAACACGTACGCCATGGGTGATAGTGTTCCGGGGTCCCAACTCACTCATCGTAATACCGGGAACGCCTTAATAATGACTACTGATGCGGGTGTGTGTTATTATACTGGTGAGAGGCCCCATCTTGACCCCCTCGGTAACCCCGCGGTGGGCCAGGCTAGTGAAGTGGTTAGGTGGGTCGGATGCTGGAGTGAGGCGTCCAATTATACCTTTTATGGCTAAAAAGAATTTGAACTCTTCCTTTTCGGACAAAGATGCTGAGTCAACCCCGCATTCTACAAAAAACAATGAATTCTACTTGTGGATACCATGACCCAACCCATACTGACGACAGAATTATTACAGTAACCGTGGGAGTATCTTACCCACCTTCACCCCAACAACAATTTGACGCAGAGACAACTATTTAACACAAACAAGACTCATGTGATGTAAACAAGACCCATGTGAATTAAATAGAACCACGTGATATATAAAGACAAAGTGCATTTAATGGGTACCATCTGTTTACGTCTTGGGTCGACCATGGGATATGGTTGTCATACAATGTAGAAACTTAACAGCATAGTTCAGATGACACAGGTGAGGATCGACAGGTGACACAGATGAGGAATAACAGATGACACAGATGAGGTGTAACAGATGACACAGGTGAGGAATAACAGGTGGTAGAGGTGATAAATAACAGGTGACACAGGTGAGGAATAACAAGTGACACAGGGAAGGAATAACAGGTGACACAGGTGAGGAATAACAAGTGACACAGGTGAGGAATAATAGGTGACACAGGTGAGGAATAACAAGTGACACAGGTGAGGAATAATAGGTGACACAGGTGAGGAATAACAAGTGACACAGGTGAGGAATAACAGGTGACACGTCTTCCATCCCCTTCACTTGTCAATCATTTTTTATCAAATATTGTACAATTTTGTCTTTTAAGCTCCATTATAAACATACTGCAGTCATCGTGTAGGTGACCGCTGTGGTGCTGTGCCACACGACAATGCACGACAACAAAGAATACCGTTACGGTGCAGGTAATACGAGATAAAAACATTGTTGGCATCTACAGCATGGAGAAGTTCATGGCTACTGAGGGAAGCAAGAGCTGGCGATCCCTGGCATCTATTGTGTGATGCCCGGCAGAGGCGTTGTGCGAATACGTATAGGGGGTAATGTGGTATGTTTGGTTATTTATTAAGCATAATTTTATCACAATAAGCGTCACTTCTGAGAATAAATATGGCTATTATCTCGCCCATATTATTCTGATAAGACTTCTTCCACTGGCGAAAGATTAACAAAAACTCACCCATTGCTTAGACGGGACCGAATACAGTAAACATGCAACAGGTTAATGTTGGGTCCGGACGTGTTACCTGGCGATGTAAGATTAGAACTCTTTCAGGCAATGGCGTTATTTACCAAAACGTTCAGCTCACTCGTAAAATTTGAAGATCACGCTGATCCTCGAATGCACAATCTTCTGCTGTGAAAATAAAGTTCAACTAACTTCAGCGTCCTAAGCCCAGGGGTCCTCAGGGTAATGGACATTTACTCAGTTCTCGTACAACACATCCAGTTATGTCCTCATCAAATTATTGTTATACCTGAACATGATTGAGATCAAACATGCTGGTGGACTGACATCACTGTGTGAGGGATTATTAACGCCGATAGACATTCTTTAATTAATAACGGCGACAGCGGCGGCCTGGGGTGAGACGTGAGCCTGTAATGTTGAATGTTTTATTGTGGATGACTCATGGTAATTGCCGCCAAACCACACTGACTCACAGTTCCACCAATTATACCTGTAATTTCCCAGACTTAACGAGTCTATTTTGACTTTTCCACACTAAACTATACAACCCGAGTCGTGATGGAAAGGATGTTTGACACTCAGCTCAGGACGTATTAGCCATTAATTAATGAATAACACGTGGACAGTGAATTGTTTTTTATAGTTCGAAAAATTCCCACCACAACACTTAATTATTTATTTCACCTTGTTATGGACTGAAGGAGGTACATATGAGGGTGTGTCCAGGACGTATGACCTGTACTCAAGCCAGGCTGGTCTAGTGCACCATGATATATTGATGAGTCTCCCGTTATTCCTTACCTGTGTCACCTGTAATTCCTCACGTCTGTCACCTGTAATTCCTCACCTGTCACCTGTTATTCCTTATATGTGTCACCTGTTATTCCTCATCTGTGTCACCTGTTATTCCTCACCTGTGTCACCTGTTATTCCTCACCTGTGTCACCTGTTATTACTCACCTGTGCCATCTGTTATTCCTTACCTGTGTCACCTGTTATTGCTCACCCGTGTCACCTGCTATTGTTTACCTGTTTCACCTGTTATTCCTCACCTATGTCACCTGTTGTTCGCCACCTGTGTCATCATGCGGGCCTGGCGTCACTTATCAAAGACAGGTCGAGACATGATAGGTAAATCTCCAACTATAGACTAGAAGTTTGTGAACTTATTGAGTGCTTACTACCAACTGATAGTGATATAGTTATACCGTCTCTGACTCCCACACCAGATATAAGTAGCTCACACTGCCTCCTCAATGTAGAATCGAACCCGAGACGAATAGACTGCCAACCCAATACGACAACCATTCCACCACCGTAACCAGAAAAAATAAAATCTTCATGTCTATCACTCACACTAGTTCTGTGAGTACTGCAGAAGAAAGGCATCGTCTGCCACTGCGAGAGAGAGGCGGGAGACAGACAAGAAGAGAGAAATGTCGACCTGGCTGGACATTATTGAATCAGTCGGTGCTTTCGGTCAAGCTAGTGCCTACAAATCTCATCAGGGGGTCACCAACAACTTGCTGGGTCGCCCTCTCCCTGTATATTGTGTGTTTGGTGCGTGTTATCTTCTAGTGTATTGTGTTCTTTTGTGTTTAGTTATGTTTTATCTCGTGTGTTGCGTAATACTTTGTGGTGAGGGGTGTGTTATTGAATACATTAAATTCTACGTTTTCTGTGGTGTTTTTTTGTGTCGATTTATTTTTGGATAAGTGAATTCTTTTATTATTCTTGGTGAATTATTTTGTGGTGTAACACTCCCCGTAGGTGAGTGGTCCCAGCATCAATTACCAGGACGGTACTTTGGGTAGGCTTTGTCCCTTTGTGTCTTGGACCCAGCTGTGACTGGGGACCTGGGTTCATATCGATTATATGATTGTGTTCCCCGGGTAGTAATCAGCCAGCACGATTAGCAAGCCGTTCGATCTTCCTGGGTTTACGCCTTGCTAACTAAGAGTCTGTCAGTTTTTTTGGGTGGCAGCTGCTACACCAAGACACAGGGCTACACACATCCCTAACTCACATCGTGGTTGTTTTATTGGTGGCAGCTCCTACACTCTAAGTGAATCAATCCACGTCGAGGGTTACACCACCACATCAACGACCGGACATGCACGACCTCGAGGGACGACCAGGATTAAGTTATGTATTATAGGAAGTTCATTATTTTAGTCTGTAGTGAATGTCGTCGTATGCAGGGAGAGGCGAACTGTCGAGTGCAGTTTGTCCTTTGTTTTGCTTTGTCAACTACATAGTTATGCATAGTTTGCTGCATAGTGTTTTGTGATGTACATTTCTTGGTGTTGCAGACTACCTTGTATGGCTCAGTGTATTGCAATGTGTATTATGTGTTGTGTGTTGTGGGGTGTATTATACTTGTGTTGTAGTATTTGAGTCGTTAGTGTTGTGTGTTACAGTGTCTTGTGTTGTGGTATGAAAAGGGAAGTTTATAATATGTTTTCTGTGTTGTACTGTGTTGCTGAGTGCATTATATAGTGTTTGTGTTGTTTTCCTTTGTATTGTGAGGTGCGTTGTTTTGTGAAGTGTATTGTTTTGTATTCTGTTGCATTGCGCCGTGTTTTGTGTTGCATTGGCTTATGTCATCATTTGTATTGTATGTTGCTCTGGGATGTGTGTATTGCAGTGTTTTATGTTTTGTTAATTTTTGTGTTGCACTGTGGCTTTTGACGTGTGTTAGCCCTCTTCATTGTGTATGGAATTCTTTTTGTGTTTCTTTGCTACATTCTTTCCGTTTTGTGTTGCGTTATTATGTGTATTGCTTGTGTTTGTTGATAAAGTTGTATTTTGTGTTGTGATGCGAGATGAGTTATGTAATATATTTGTGTTGGTTTTTATTGTGTTGCATTGTTTCGTGTAATGTGTTGCAATCATGTGTGTGTTACATTACTTAGTGATCTGTGTTGCTTTGAATTGTTGTATATGATGCTTTGAATTATGCCGTGTGTTACATTATTGTGATATGTGTTGGTCAGTCTCTTTTGTGGTTTTGTGTTGAATTTTGTGTTATTGGTTTGAATTATGTGTTTTTTAGGTTGTGTATCTCATTATTTTCGTTGTCTTAGCTTATTTGCTTTTGTGTTCTTATTCTGAAAAAAAAACCTTAACCTGGGTAAAAAAATCCTTAACTAATTTACATTACATAGAGGTACTGTGTTGTCAAGGTTGCGGCTATAATTATTAAGTCTTAAAACACGTAACTGACACCTCAAGGTATAGTGAGTGTAAGACGCGCTCAGTACCTCGCTTTAAATAACTTCCTGTTTCCAACGTCATCGAATCAACCAATCAGGGTCTCAGGTGACGGTCACTGATTGGTTACAAAAGGAGGTTTTCCTTCTGTAGCCAATCAGAGACCGTCACCTAAGACCCTGATTGGTTTGATTCGATGACGTCTGGTTTCTTCACCGAGGAAGTTTGTTGTGAAATATTGACTAGTCATTTAGTTACTGTGCGTGTGGGGGGAGGGAGGGAGGCTGTTTGTGTGCATATGTGTGTCTGTTTGTGTATTGTAAAGTTTAGCAAGTTATTTGATTAACCGTGTGTGTGTGTGTGTGTGTGTGTGTTTTGTCGAACATATATGGTCATGATATACTAAGCATGAAGACGTATGACACTTTATTAAGTACATAGACCAAGTTGATTCAAAGTTCGTGTGCTGGTAATGTGATGAAATGTGTGACATACAAGTTGGTTCTTTGATAGTGTAGTGTAGTGTAGTGTGGTGTAGTGTAGTGTGGTGTAGTGTAGTGTAGTGTAGTGTAGTGTGGTGTAGTGTAGTGTAGTGTAGTGTAGTGTGGTGTAGTGTAGTGTGGTGTAGTGTAGTGTGTGTAGTGTGGTGTAGTGTAGTGTGTGTAGTGTAGTGTAGTGTAGTGTAGTGTAGTGTAGTGTAGTGTAGTGTAGTGTAGTGTAGTGTGGTGTAGTGTGGTGTAGTGTAGTGTAGTATATTGGCCATAAATTCATATTCTTTAATGATAAAATAAAGCATTTATTTCTCTCTGCCTCTTTGATCAAGCACAATATAAAGAGTAAATACGGACATGGCCACTGTGGGGTACACTACAGGGCCAGAACAAAGTAAATATTTATAGTCGGTCCGTTTTCATTAGCATGCAAATTTAAGTTGTTGATTTATGGATAGACCTTAAAGAGTGAAGGTAATGGCTTTTAACTTAAGAAATATTATCTAACCTTCAGATCCAATCTAATTTAATGCCTGATTTACAAGTGTTTTAACCTGTAGAAGAGTTTTACAATTTTTTTTTTCAAGTAAACAGCAATGGTTGTTGTGCCTGTTTATACAAGTAATTACAGTTGTTAAAAAGACGTTTATTTTGTTCACTTAACTTATTCATCTTGTTGGCAAAAATAATTGGCTAAGATGGATCATTAGTAGGGTGGTTCATCAACAGGTTATTACTGGTTGGTTCACTTTGCTCTTTCTCTCCCTGGCAGGTCCACTGGCGACGCTCTACTTGACGGGAAATCCTCGCTAACACGCTCTACAGGTGAGTCTTTTATTACCTGCCCTTCCAACAGATGAGGCTCCATTATCTGTTCCGCAAGTGAGGTAGATTTTTTTTTTATGAAATGTAAGTTATATTGGATAGCAGACACTCTTAACTTACTGCATTCCGACATACACCTGAATCTTAGTTAGGTAGGGAGAGAGAGAGGAGAGGAGAGCCATTTTCACTAGCTGTACACAGACTGGTAACTGTATACACGGTAAGTCATGACAGAAATTAATGTAAACAGATGTTGAAATTAAATACCACAAACAAAATTCACAGGGAACTTGGAGACAAAAGTGTTCGTATTTCATAATAGGATATTCTTTTTACCTTCTGTCCTCTTTTTTTCTTCTAATTGGTAATATAGTCACATAAGCTATTTTGGTCTTACTAGTTCGTATATTACACGACCTGACTAACATATTCTGTGTTTTTTTCCTGCAGGTCCTCACTGACAGACACCTGGTGACTCTACCTTCATCTGTCTCCAGTTTTGTGTGTCTAGAGTCACATCTTTCTCAGTCTGTCATGATTTTCTCCTGTTTTCTGTTTGTTCATGTTCTTTCATTCCTTTTTGGTGTATTATTAAATTTTTTTTCTTCATTTGCTATCTTCCTTTGTCTGTATTAGTTTGTTATCTTCTTCCCCTATTCCCCTTACTGTATCACCTCTCTTCATGTTTCTCTTGTTCTTCATCACCTCTCTCTGAGTTGTGTCCTGTCCTAAACATCCGAATATTAAGGAAGAGAGAAACTTTGTTTATATTTCTCTTCAGGAAGTTGATAATCCATTTCCTCGTTACTGTCAATATTCTAAGGTCGACGTGTCACCCTTCAAACCCTCTCCTTCCTTACGCACACACACAACCTTACCACCTCATTCACAATCCTCATAAATCTTACCTCCTCTTTTTTAGCATTAATTTAAAATCCTTCCCAGAGATACCTAAAACAGAAGATTTAAAGTAACTTAAATTTCCTCAGAATACTCACGAGCTTGATTCCCTTCAAATCCCTTTTTAATTTATCCTAAAACACCTAAAATTAATCCTTTTCCCGCCCAAACGTAAACACAAACATTCACCACTTCCAATTCACTACACCCAAACCCCTATCTCTCTGTTTCTCTGACCCCTTCATCATCTATCTCAGTCTTATACTCTTGTTCCTCTTCTTTTCTCTGTCTTCATCGTGAATAATCTACTTAGGTCATATCCCTCTTTCCTCCCAACTACTGCAGAAGACAGGGGCATCACCAGCATGAGCCTACGAGAGACGGATGGTTTAACAGGGAGTAGTAGCCTCTAGTGTTCGACGGTAAGAGTGTTTATACGTGGCCTCCCTCCTACTGTGGCCATCATAATGTGGATTCATTACGGCGCTTCATTAAATGGCTTCGTATGGCCTCTTTTTGTGTTTTTTAAGTGTGGCCTCTATGATGTGGCTTTTCCTTATTCGGCCTCCTTAAGTGATTCTATGTGGCCTCAGCTTTGGTCCACTATCTGTTTGAGTGGTGGCGTTCTTGTGACCTATTCTTTGTGGGTCTTGTATGTGGCTTCTCATTGCAACCTTTTTTATGTGACTTCCATATCGCTTCTGTTTATATGGCCTTGCGTATCAATATGTGGCCTTCTGTAGCGATATGTGGAGAGCTACGTCTTTCTTCGGGATGTAAAGTACCTATATAAAAAAGGTGAATGTGTGATAAGTTGATCCTTGGAGGTTATTTAAGTTGATATATATGGCAGGAATAGTAACTCAGAGAGAGAGAGAGATTATCCTTAACTATTCAAAATATATTACGATAACTTGAGTAGATTTAGATGACACTTCGAGAACTAATTTATCCCACAAAAATTGATAGGTAAAAATTTTATTAAATGGGATTTAATGCAAATCAATTTCTCAGTAGAATGATTTAGTTTTTGACTGTTGAAGTTCGCTCTAATATCTGATGCTATTTTTTCAGCCATCTTTTTTATTAACGTCATGTAATCAAATACACTGTACGTGAACAAAAAATAAGACACATTCTAAAGTATCGAACGATTTCCTATTAAGTTTGCTTCACTATACAGTAATTAACTAACATTTAATTAGAGTGTTCATTAGTTCTTGGAGCTTAGAGTCATGTCCCTTATACACCTCCTCATTAAACGAGAATTAGCTCACAAGTCTCGGGGGTTCAGAGAGTAACAAGGTGCGACTTGACCTGGTGTTGGCGGGATCGATACTGACTGACATCAACTCTTGAGTCCGTCCCACACCAGCTGCCTGAGGGTTTAGTCGTCAATTATTTTTGGATTTCCTAACGGCGAAGATCTGACATACTTTCACTTTCCTCCTATTCATACGTCAGGGAGGGAAGAAAGCCATAACGTTAACCAAAAATATTTATATTTCGAAAATATATTATTGCTCATATGTGTCTTTAGTATTCAAATGGGAAATTAGAATTCGTGTTCGGACTTGCGAGTTAATATCTTTTAAAACACACCCGCCAGACCGTCTACATACACCACTTTTTAGTCCAGAAATCTGATGTGGAATCCTTATTAGAACTCTGATTTATTTATTTTCGACCCATTTACCCAATGATTTTATCTAAGTTAATACAAAAGTTAACAGAATTTTTGTTCCTAAACATCTTACTAGATTGGCTGCTCCATAGTGAAGATGAACTGTCTTTCATGTGTTCCGTATCACGTCTTGCATCTATGGCCGCTTGTTTCGGTTACCTTCGACAGCTTGAAGAAATAGATTTTGTGTTTTAGATTTTGTTTAGGACCTCAAATGTTCTTATACGAGATCAGTCGTGACTTGTTTGAAGAGTCTTCACTCCTGAAGTCTTTAGCTTATTTAAATAATCAAAGCGTCTAATTAGAGGAATATTTATAGTCACTGAGGTATAGTATTTCACCAGTATTGCAGTAGGTGTGGCCTCTATATGTAGCAACCCAAAGAATATACAGAGCCAATCGATTATTTTCCTGTGCAAACAAATATTCTCAGAGAGGCGTTCTTTATTTTTCACCGGTCCCCCATTTGTTGCTGTTCTCGACAACGACGCGCAGGTCCCTTGCCGTAAGTGCAGACGTCAGGAAAATACTATCAGCAGAGTGGTTATACTTTTGACTATATTGTACATTTTATTATTTTAATGGCATTTGCCAATGAATCGACCATTTTAAGAATTCATTCAAACATTTGGAATTTATGTAAGGTCTTCATGACTTAATAACTTTTCAATAATCTTGGCATTGTCAGTAACTTCATGGTGACGCTGGAGATATTTTCGTCAATAGTTGTTGTAGATCCCAAAGAAGGAAGGTCTCAAGCTGGATCCCTGCGGTACTCCACTCAGAACTTTTTCAGCCTGATTCTATTTAGTTGAGAACTATTCCTGATTCCTGTCTTTGAGCCAATGTTTCATCCTTTCCAATATTTTACTAGTGCTGCAAAGAGCTTGAATTTTCATAAATATTATTGCACGATGAATTTTATAGAAGGATTAGAGAAAACAAAGACAGTATATGACCTGGGTACCCCACGTCAATGCAATGTGTTACTTTTTAAGAAAATGTGAGCTTATTTGTTTAGCATGAGTTGTTCTTTGTGAACTCAAATCGTGATGCCTTAAAGAGACTGCTCTTAGATGATGATGGATCGTGAGAGCATTTTCTAAAATATTTTGAAGAACTTGCAGATATGGAGGTTAGACTGTGATTAAGATGCTGCTATATTAACTCTTCTGCTAATGTTGAGAGTCTGCCCTGAAGCAACACCAACTATCACATTCATATTTTTTGTGTCATTCATTTACACCAATTTGACTAAGAAAATCCACTTTGTTTGTTGACCAATGTTGTTTGTTTTCTGCTTTTCTTGGATACACAACGGCGACTTAATTTCTTCTTAAATCCCTGTCTCCTGTGACTGGTGGGTGGCGTCCCGGCGGTACACATGACCCTGGCCCCAAGTCCCCCCCCCCCCACGCAGGGTGTTATTATCTACATAAACACGAAACACATTACGATCATTTACAAGGGTTGTTGGATTCTTGTACCGATAGTCAACGTCCTGGTATCATCCGGCGCCACTGACAAGCACATTGTAATGCAGAGTGTTGGAAAACTTACAAGTTATTTACTTACTACAATGTTTGTGGAGGAATTCTCCTCATCAGTTAATAACTAGGCATGTATTCATGTACAAACAAATGACAAAGACATGTTTAGCGCTGGCCTTTTGTTAGCATTGTGTTAGTTATGTTTACGGTTATAAAATTATTATGAGGAGAACGTAGCACCAGGAGGCTGGACGTTGGGTGATGGCGTCACAATGGTGCACGTCACCTGAGCAACAGACAATAGTACTATACTGTATTAACACTGACACCACTACTACTGATGCCCCCTTTACACACACACAGACGTACTGCATATATGTGTCCTGTATATATAAGAAATATTGTCTGTGTGTTGTCCGGGAATTTGTTTCAGTAATAACTGGGGTGAGGCCGGATACCTCAGCTAGTAGGTATATATATATATATATATATATATATATATATATATATATATATATATATATATATATATATATATATATATATATATATATATATATATATATATATATATATATATATATATTATATAATGTGTCTGTGCTTAATATTATTGAGAGAGGCCTCACGCCAAGGGCCAAGGTTACTTTTTCTTATATGCAATTTGGGAAGAGTAAGCAGCAGGTTTCCCTGTCGTAGTGATGATATAAGTAGTAAGTAATAATAAATATTTAGCAAAAGTAATAGATAGGAAGGTAATGTTTATATACTGAGGCAGGAGTTCCTACTATTACCTGCATCGGTTTAACCTGCGAGTCCTGCCACCTTCACGTCCTCCCAGCTATTTTCTCCCACGAATAGATTAACACACGATAAGCGGCTTCTTATCCAGTAATCTATGAATTTTAAGCAGCAGAGTGTGATGACCTCAATTATATGCATGAGTTTTCGAACATGTGATGTGGCTCGCTGAGATATTTTTTCTTCATATTAGTATTAATAGTGGGTATTATTTACAGTGCACAGTATTTCAAAGCTCGGGAAGTGACTGTCGCCGCCGCATACATCCACTATCAGCCTCTGGTCGTGCTAGGCTTGACATCAAGATGGTACAGCCTATCGAAGACGCTCCGGGTGAAATAAATCCAACCTATGCTTAGTGAACCAGGACGGGCGGCTGTGTGACACCTTGTTAGGTTTATCTCAACCTGATATGCAAATTACTGCAGTATTAATAGCTTAGTAGCCGGCAAGATATAATGTGTTGTTTTCAGAAAGAGTGAACCAATGTTTCCTTAGGTTGTAGGTGTGTTAGTTAGAACCCTCGTAGTACTGTAGTGGTTATGGTGTTATGGCAGTCTTCGATAATTGTAAGAAATGAAGAATATTTCTTGTCATCAACTCTCATACATGTTAGTCTTAAGAATACACCTGACATAATGTGATTCATACATACAGAACCTTCACTATAATGACTACTGACAACATAATTGGTGGTAGAAATACTACTTGACTTTGTGCCAGTGACACTGGACGCCTTCTAGGCTGGTGTCCTGTTGTTCAATGACAGCAGGTACCAGTAATCACTAGTAAAAGATGGCATCTGATTGGCTGCTCCACTAATCAGAGAGGCAGGGGTAAACTACATGCTGGAGTGTACAATATTTCATTGTGATACCAGTCGATGTGAAACAAACTAAGTGCTGTTATTCATATATGGAAATCATATAATTAATTCATTAATTTTACTGCCTTACTTATAGATTAATTATTCATGTATGCACCAGGTTAATAAATCATTTGTACTTCAGCCAGTGAGATGCTCACTCACGCACATAAACATATTGCGTTCTTACAATACGTTTTTCAATATAAGTCTTTGTGGATATTATACAGCTTAAAATACTATCTGGACATTTATATTCTATCACAAGATCTAATTTAATGAGCCAATCAGAACCGTCGTTTAGCAGTTCTTACTTCTTGTATAAGTATGACAACAGAGAGCCAGGTGGGAGCCCAGGCTGCACGTCTACTCCTTCGACAATGACCTGTGAAATTTCTTATCTTAAGGAAAAACAGGGATTTTATCATTATTAATATGATCATTATCTATCAGCATCACATGTGATTATTTAGGTCAAATTCTTAATTAATCAGCACAATGTGTCGCGTGTGAACAGGTGTGTCGGTCTATCACACACAGTACTTGGCACAACAAACATTTACTAAAACGTTCCTTGTTACCTGAGCACGTGACAGACGCGGCCCTGTTGAGTTTTTCCCACGTCTCTGATAACAAACTCTTGGTTTTCTTTTTTCAGGTGAGTCAAAGTGGAGGTAACGACCAGCCTCTCGAAGATAAGTATAAATATTTTGTTGTTGTTGAGTCGGTGACCGCTAACGTGGGTTACTTAACAACGTGTAGCCTGGCTCACGCCTCCCTCCACCTGGTATATAATGTTCCCTCTTAAAATATATTAGTAAATTAACGAAAGTGATCAGCATTCACTTTTTATCGGCCATTGTATGAGTGGTTCAGTGGCAAGAGAAGTTAATAATCAACAGGTAGAAGTATATTTCTAGTGTCGATATATATTAGGTACCAACTTATTAAATACATATATGACAAGAAGTTCTGTAATATATAATTACTATCTACGAACTATTACCGAGGCATGTGTTATAGTATGCGCTTACCAAGATAACACATATGTCTTCCTTCCTGTGGTGTGGTGGCTGGCAGAATGGTTGGCTCCAGAAAGGTCGTTGTGTCGGTCCTGCTGGTGCTGAGCGTGATGCTGATGGCGTTGCTGCTGCTTCCGTCTGCCGCCGCCGCTGCCAACAAGGTCTCCGTCTGTATCAAGAACTGTGCCCAGTGTAAGATCATGTACCACGACCACTTCAAGGGCGGCCTCTGCGCCGACTTGTGTGTCCAGTCCGGAGGCAAATTCATCCCGGATTGCGGTCGACCTCAGACCCTCATCCCCTTCTTCCTGCAGAGGCTGGAGTGAACATGAAGGTGCTCCATATGAAGACTTGGAAATGCTCAGTTCATCCCCTCCTCCCTCCTGAGTATCATGACTCACAGTTCTTCAGTGTCGTGGCTCAAGCCAAAATTTGGCAGTATTTAATGCTCAAGACAATATCTGGAAGTCTCCTGTGCACTGTGCATATATTTAGAATTTCTCATTGTTGTTGTCTAAGATGAGACTTGACTTAGCATTTGTGCTTAAATATTATCCTGTTGAAGCACTAGGTATACATAAAAACATATTTCTTCGGTCAAGATATGGAGGTAATCAGTACTTCATGTCGAGATCCGGAGGTCTCAATGTTTTCAATTAAGGCCTGGAAGCTTTCAGTATCTTGAGTAAAGCCTAGAAGGCCCTAAGTACCTTTAGTCGAGGAGTGGAGGATCTTGGTCCCTAGATTCAAGACCTGGAGTTTCCGAATCAAGATCCGGGAGCCTCAGGATTCTGAATGAAGATCTAAAGGTTCTCAATATCTTGAATAAAAAGTTAGGGATCCTCGGCTTTCCATACAAGGACCAGGAAGTCTTCAATACTTGAGTTAGTACCTGAAAAGTCGTCAGTTTTCCGAGAAGCGAAAGTGACAAATTCATTATCAGTGTTATTGTTGTTGTTTCTCTGGGATTTGATATGAAATGGCCGCTAGGCCAAGCAGTTGGCGACCAGTACCGGTATATGTATATATATATATATATATATATATATATATATATATATATATATATATATATATATATATATATATATATATATATATATATATATATATATATATATATATATATATATATATATATATATATATATATATATATATATATATATATATATATATAACTGAAGCGAAAGAGCAACAACAGATCTGTAGAATTACTTAGGGAGGGTAAAAGTGTCACAGAGGAGCTCTCTGGTTTACTGTGACAACTCCACTTTCAAGTTGCGTATTTATGGCGACAACAACCAACATAGGACGACTCATTCTACCTAATATTACCAGATTCGAGGAGATTTGTGGCTGGTGTCATTCTCCTTTTTTGAAAATGGTCTATGTAGAAACATTTTCCCGGTGGTATAGAGGCTCACCAGATTTATGTTGTTGTTTGTTTCGTCGAGTTGTGGATCTCCAGAGAGGACGTAATGAGTTGTTAAACCCTCTTTCCTTATTCGATGTTTAAGAATATAATTATATAGTGTTCAAAACAAATATTTACTAGTCTTAACAACATATTATAGGTTTAAATTTCTTCACGTGCCACACTCATGTGGTAACTTGTACTTAGATCACTTCCTTGCAACTTATGTCCATTTTCCAGTATATAAATCCTCAATGATAGGTTGCATTTACTCTGTTAAGACACAGTACTACCCGTGAATACTCAGTTGCTCGTTTTTTTAGCTTTCTGTGAATTACAACACAAATTTAGAATTCATTAAACACTGAATTTGTTGTTCTGTGAATGCATTACATCTAATTGTGAAAATTTATCAATTCTTGAATTTGAAAACGCAACACCGTGTCTCAATACTGTACAGTACATCGATATCTATTTCATCGCGTACCAAGAAAATGTGTGAATCATTTTGATTTAATTTATTTTTGTAAATATATATACAGTATATATATGTATATTTCTGTTAAATAAATGACGTAAAATAATGCTATTTGCTTTTCCTTACGATCTGTGAAGTCACTCCGGAATCCGGATTTATTTAAGCTAAGGTCACACTGCATAAGAACCGCCAGGCCAGTCAGGCCTCAGGACTCAGTAGTTCAAAACAACCCACTGCAATGGACGAAGATCTTCTGAGAGTGATAATAACTTTCTCAAGCAGACCAAGTGTTGCCGCTTAATACCCCAAAAATTGTTTCTCCATGATGAACACAAGCTGGCCGCTGGGCGTATTGTTTCCATTGGAGGTCGAATGGATTCGAATCGATGGATGGAGAGTGAAGAGATCTTGACCCGCTGGTGAGTAGATTGGTGGTACGGGAGCTGGACTTGAAGTCTTTGAAGATTGGTGGTTGACTTTGGGGGCCTTGGGGTTGGTGGATAGTGCAAGAGAAAGGCGAGGAAATTTGAAAATACTAGTAGGTTTTATAGATCTTGGGGCTCAACCAAATTGCTTCAGTTATCTCACATTTGTGTTTCAGTTAAGCTTCGCCGTAGGTATCGGAGGTCAAGCGAGTGTTGGGTGATAAATTCTTGATCAATATTTAATAATTGATTATATTTTTCATTTGAATACTAATTTGCTCATACATTTATGGTTTTATCATTCTTAGTACGATATAAGGACATATTTTATTTTTTTTTAATAGGGGAGGAAACTACAGATTCTCATAACATTTAATCGCCCACCGTTACCCAAAGACTATACACACAGTCTTTGGGTAACGGGTAGCATGATCAGGTAAGATGGTATAGTTCAAACTTCCCAGTGAACGATTGGGCGAAAATCCAGTGCTCTTGTTGGACCAAGTTGTGTCAATATATAGTCAGCGTGGCTCCCGTTTAACACGGTAGTTAAGGCGCCGACACTTTTTCCTCATCTCCAGAAGATTTGGAGATCCGTGCGAAATTTAGTTCAGTAAGCTGACGCCAGAGAGATTTGGTGTATTTGTTTTGATCAAAGACTATAGTTTTGATTCTTCACTAGACCAATCACCGTGCCCAGAACAAAACACTCTGATAGACTACTAACCAATCATAAGTTACCCAGCTGATGAGGCGTAGACAAAGTCACACGTGAGAAGATATAGAGGGTCAAGGCGTAAACAAAGTCACCTCAATTTCTCCTATGGCGGCTGCCAAAAGGAAATGTGTGATTTTAGGAATGACAGGTAAGCCTAATAATATTTGTGGTGATGACCTTTGCTTATGAAATTGACTAATAAGTCTAGTCTACAGTCTAAGGCCTAATGTACTGTACAGTAGTTGTGCAAGATCGCGGCTGTATTAGGCCTATTGATGTTACTATAAAAAAAAAAAAAAAAAACAATAGGAACGGTGATTTACAGTGTTGAAGTCTGGCCTAATATAAAATTGGAAATAATTGACCAGAAAGAGGACGCTTCTTTATTTGAAGGTTTGCTCTTTAGGAAATATAATTTTCATGTCAAGTTTATCCGCTGAGTTTTGAGTTTTTGATAAAATAAGAAATGTTTACTCTTTTGGTAACGTTAAGGCTAGTTGGGTAAGATAATGATTTTACTAAGTTTATTATGCTATTATATTATTTTTTATATATTTAACCCCACATTTTCCTGTCGACTTCGGGGTACCAGATTGTAGCGGGGTCGTTAAGGGAATTTTATTAGTCTATTAATGAAGCAGCGTTCGTCTTCTAAGCCTTTATCAACTAGGATATTACATAAAGATGCATGACTCTCGGGTACCACTTAAAAAAAAACCCTCGAAGCTACTAATACACACGTGCTTTGGTACTTTTCCTGGGGGGGTGACAAACTTCCCTAGGACAAACCCTCTCCAGTTAAGGTTGACTGTTGGGACTTACGGTGACCTCAAATTGTTAATCAGGCAAACAACGACATCTATGAGTGGATTGTTTACCGCAGAAGGTTGAGCGTTTAGAGTAAAAGTGTCACAGGAAGCTCATTAACAAAAAACTTTGTGGGTAATACTCGTCCATTACAACAGGACTTACACCTAAGACAAGGACCCATCAGGCGAGCTCCTACTGATCCTATATATAACTATAGCACGACTCTTATATTGTTGACACATACAGTCACAAGTATGTTTACAGTACATTGTGTGACTGGTGGCCGTCCATTAGCTTGGCTCTGGATATTAGTTAGTAAATTAAGTTACTTTAGTTGGGTCATATTGGTGGTAATTTTTTTTTAATGCGCTATTTTGAAAGTTTAGATAATATTAGTTAGTTTACTTTGAATATGTAGAATATTTTTGTTAGGCAATTTTGGTTCAGTTATATTGCATTGATTTGGTTGTTACATTTGGAAGGTTTTTCTTGTCAGGCGTTCTAATCGATCACTGTTCCTGAAACATCATTTTACTGAACACTTGTAACTGGTGTTCAGTACAGTATTTGTCGTTTGTAATTTATATGTTGTAAATATAAAACAATCCATTTTCAGTTATCATTAATGGCAGTTCGTTATCTTTTCTTTAATTTGTTTTTGTATATGTATAAGTGATTTAAATTTTTACCGAATAATTGATAAAACAATAAGATTACTTGAAGATTATACACCCCAACTTATTTCATTGGAAGATTAACCACAAAAATGTTACGTGGGGTTTTAAAGTAATATTATGTTAGCGCTGTGCAATATTGGGTGTAAGTTGAGAAAAGTGCGAGGAAAGAACGATGTAATTTAGGATGAAATTCGACTAAATGGAACTTGCACGGAGTATTGATGGAATGATAGAAAATGACGTGTAGCGATTAGTATTGATATGAGAGGGAGGGAATGACGGACCGAGTCTCATTGACACACTGACCGTGGAAATGATACCTGGAAAAAATATAGATCGTCTGATATTAGTGTTTTGTTTTATGGTGTCTTAAGTTATCGTACTCAAGAGGTTGTCATCGTACACAAGGGGTTAAGTCATCGTACTCTAGGGCTGTCATCGTACTCTAGGGCTGTCATCGCACTCTAGGGCTGTCATCGTACTCTAGGGGTTAAGTCATCATACTCGAGGGGTTAATGACAAAACA